AGATTTTGAGCCCTGACATAGGGGATCTGCAAACAGTCAGGGCTTCATAAGAGCATGTGCTTATGCTCTTGGGAGGGCCAGATTGTATGCCAAGCCAAGATGCTTTTTGAACCCCAGCACTAGGAGGGTTACATATTTACGCTATGTTACTGTATTATTCTTTGCAAAAGCGCTACATTTTAAAGCACTAGGATCAATATTTTTTTATTTACTATTTGCATATCCAAGTTTTGAATGTCTAAGTAATGACACACTGTATATAATTATTCCCTGAATAAATATATTTGACTTGCATCCTTTAGGCCCCCTTCATAAGGGGCAGACCCATCAGCGGATCCACTTTCTGAGCGGGGAATCTGTCCTCTGATCCCCTGCTGAGCAAGTGGATGACAGGTCCGTGTCCGCTGAGCTTATGCAGAACAGACACAGCCCGCTGTCCTCTTTGGCCTGTTGGATGGAATGACTGTCTGTCATCCAATCCGATTTGCCACATGGATGGGGAACAAATCCACATGCATCTGTCTTTAGAGGACAGAATCAGATCGGATGCAGTCGGGTGTAAACGGACACATGTCCATTTAAATCCGCTGCTCCATAGAGACAATGGAGCGTCCGACCCGGTCCGCCTGTCCGGGTTTCAAGCTGACACGATCGGGCACTCCATTGCTCGTGTGAAAGGGGCCTTAGAGATATTAGAATAAAACTCCAGAGATTCGATAATTTTTTGCCACAAAGCTTTTTCACCATTTATATTTGAAGCTTGCTGTGTCCTAGCAGTAATAATTACAAATATTTTTCTGTTGTTAGGCCCCCTCATGGTTTTTTTTGATGCAGTATAATTTTCTCAGTTTACATCTAGTAAATCATTTTTAACAATAATTTCTTATTTAATCACATACATGTTTTCATGCTTTGTTATTTTTCAATCAGTGTACAAAAAAGTGGAAAAAATGAGCCCTGATGAAATGCTGCATATTTTATCAAAGCAATTATTAAACCCAAAAGCAAACATTTATCATGTTGCAGCATACCAATTCATAGATGTGATAACAGCATTCATTTTTAGTCTTTTTTTCTTCTATTTTCATCTGGTGATCCAGCCAGGAAGTCAAGCTCTCCAGTGGAATGTATCTGTTTACATGGATGAGTCAAACCATATGCCACTGACAGGGGTGTTTAAAATGATCTGCTTTAATCAGGGGCGGACTGACCATTTGGAAACTTGGGCACTGCCTGAAGGCCCGGGGTCAGTAGGGGGCCCCATGAGATGCCCCTGATACCTTTTTCATAGGATTTTTTGAGTTTTGGGCAAGGACACAGGGGCCCCATGATCCCCTATTGCCCGGGGGCCCCATGAGTTGTCAGTCCGGCCCTGGCTTTAATTTATTCATGTAAAATATGTATCCCATATATGTATGCAGGTCTTCATAAAGTTTCTGCACTTTTATATATACAGGGTGTCCCTAAAGTCTAGACATAAAGGCAAAAAGCATATTTTCAATACATTTCAAACATTTTTTTTTCAACATTTTATTTCATTGGAATATTAATCAATAACATCTTCAATGTGATTTCCACCATTTGTGATGCAAAGTTCTATGCACTTTGCAAGATTCACATGAACACAATGCAGTGACTCCACATTTCCGTCAATTTGAGCACACTCGTTCATGATGTGTTCCGTCAGGTGATTCATATCTGTGATTTTCATTGAGTACTCCTTCTCCTTTAGCATACCCAAAAAAAGAAGTCAAGGTTTAGTGAGCTTATATAGGGATTTATTATACACATAAGCAGTATATACACATATAGTGATATTTCCTATGTGTCCAGACTTTAGGGACACCCTGTATAATAGAGTTTAACCCTTTCGCCGCACGGTCCGTATGGAAATGATAGCAGGGGGTTTTATACACAATTTGGTGGCTGCAGCCACTGACCTGTCAAGTGGAAGCAGTCGGGCTGCCGCCTGATCACTTCCACAGCCCCCAGTACCCGGGACCCACTTGCCCATCTGTGGGCACGGGGAGCACCATGGCGGGTGCGGGAGAGTGGAGGGGAGAGAGGAGAGCGGACCTATGTCTGCTCTCCTCCCCTTTTTTGTGTGACCCAGAAGGCAACGAGTATGATGTCACTTTTGGGTCACGGCTGTCATTTTGCGATCTGCATTGCAATACATCTATTGAAAACCAGATGAGAATGCAGGGTCTATTAGACCCTGCATGTCTCAATAAAAAGAACATGTCACCTAAAAATCATCACATTGGGGACTTTGTGATGAAAAAAAAGTTAAGTAAAAAAAAAATTTTTTTTTAATTACAAAAAGTTACACTCAAGCATATAACATCCCCCCCCTCCAAAAAATTTTGGGCCCCTTCCCCACATATACAAATGTAAACTCACACGTCGGGATAATTCTAACACAAGACCTCCTCCGTAAACAACTGATGACCTATAGGAGCCTTTGAAGTGCCGTCTATAGAAATAGAGGGTACTGCAGTTTATCGCCATTTCACAGGCGCCACAAATTTAAGGTTTGACATGTTGGGTATCTATTTATTGTATTTGTTTGCCCTAAAATTCACTTGTGTGTTTTTTTGCCGACATTTTGCATTTCCTAGATCTTGTGACCTAATATTGTGTGACATAAAAAATCGAAAATACCACTATTTTATTCTCTATGGCATGGGTGTCAAACTGGAGGCCCTCCAGCTGTTGCCAAACTACAAGTCCCTTAAGGCATTGCAAGATTGACAGTTACAAACATGACTCCCAGAGGCAGAGGCATGATGGGACTTGTAGTTTCGCAACAGCTATAGGGCTGCCAGTTTTTACAGGCCCATGTGCTCTAATGGGCTCTGCAGCTGGTTTCTGAAAATACATAATGTTTGGGGTTTTTAAATCTTGCCTGAGCAAAATTTTTTTCAACATTTGCAGGGTTTACTGATGTCTGATGGGTGTTTTTTTTACAGTTTTTGTGCAGTATACTACTGAAATAATTTTTTTTTAAACATGTGCAAAAGGCTGAGCAGATCGGCACTTCTGAATGCTTTTTAAAAAAAGTACATTGATTTCCAGTGAACATTTACAATGTGTCCAAATCTATTTGCCTTTCCTGTATTATCGCACAGCGACGTATAGTTTTCTAAATCTTGGTTTGCCTGCATTCAAATTTTGCTTTCATACATCATAGTAACTGATGGCTGATGGGTGTTTTTTTATACAGTTTTTTTTGTGCAGTATACTCTCAGGTAAAATCAAATTTTTGGATGTAGACAGATACATATCTCTGACTTTTTAGCTCCCTTCTGTTAATAATGACTGTTTTTCTAGAAGTCTAGGGACCAGCTGGATCTAGAAGCTGGTTGTTTGTGTTTTTTTTTTGGGCTTTTCCAACACTATCAGATTTACAGTGATGAGCATTTAATGTGTAGGCAGGCGCAGTCTATTTTCTCCACTGTAGGTTGAAGGCGCTTGTACCAGGATGCAGTACTATAGACTGGAGTAGGAAGTCTAAGGAAACTTGGTTTGTACTACGGTGTTGGTGGTTTTTTCCAGTTGGTTACACTTTCCTGGAGCTTTGCTCTTGAAACAAGGCTGATGATGCTTGACATGTCCTTATATACTGCTGGGGCCAGTCTTGGGCATTTCACTGAACTTTGAACTTCAGTTTGTTTTAATATTGCTGCCACTTAAGTCTCTGTAACTAATACGAAATGTTATTGATAATAAAAAGTAAACATTTAATATATTGCAGCTTACTAATTCTTAGTTGTGATGGCTGCATTCATTTTCTTTTTCAGGCTTTCTTTCTTCTATTTTGATCTGGTGAGCCAGTCAGCAAGTCTATTCTTTTTCAAAGGAACAGAACTCTCTTACAGCAGTAGCAAAAGGGTTGAGACTAACCATTTACCACTGAAAGGGGTGCTTACAATGATTAGCTTTTATTTATGTAATACCTATATCCCAGAGCAAAAAAAATGTTGCGTTATAAAGTGTTATCTGGAGTTCGGTATCAATTTGTTAGTTTATTTAAATCTGCTAGTACATCGACACTCCCCCTAGAATGCTGCTTTCCAGAGGTGCCCCTGTGCTTCTTCATCCAGAGTGGGTGCACTCTAATACAGGAGATATGTTACTGGCCAGGCCACCAGGTGAAAACAGAAGGGAAAAAACCTAAAAAAAGAAAAACTAATGCAGCCACCACATATAATGATTGGTAAGCTGCAATATATTACATTTTTGGTTTCTGGTTTAATACTGATTTAACCACTTCCCGCCTGTAGGACATTGTAGACTTTAAGTGGAAATACTGGCATCATCTTGGTTATTTTTTTCAGCAGCTGATCTTCTATAATGTAAAAGCAATCCTAGCCACTGGATTGCTTTTACAAGCAGTGGGGGGGGGTGTGCCCCCTGTCACTCTCCGATGCCACCAGGCTCTCCCGTCATATTGGGGAGCCCAAGCCCGAGACTGAAGCCAGTACTACCTCTGGCTTACCATGGAGCTGGATGGGAACCTGAACATTCCTGATCATCTCTATGGTGTTAGAAATCAAAAGCAATGTGTATTTAGTCAGTTCCGTTTTTTGCCAGATGTTGGTGTGATCAGAAGCTTTTAAGGGCAGAGAAGAGATCTGGGGTCTAAAAACCCCCAGATCTCTCAGTAAAGAATACCTGTCACTGCTTGTGGCTATCACAAAGGATGTTTCATTCCTTGCATAGCAATAAGAAGTGCTAAAACATTTTTTTTAAAGGGACAGTGTAAAAAAAATAAACGAAATTAAACCCCCCATGCTCACGTATACGTAGGTCACTCACACATATGCAAACAGTGTTCGCACTACACATGTGAGAGGAATAATTTAGCACCAGACCTCCTGTGTAACTCTAAACCAGTAACCTGTAAAGACTTTTTAACGCATGTAACCTATGGAGACTTTTAGGTACTGTAGTTTGGTGCCATTCTATGGGCATACACAATTTTAAAACATGATATGTTAGGTCAGGGCTTGAAATTTCCACTCGCCTGCTTGTTCAATGGCAAGTGGAAATTATGGTGGGGGTGAGTGTGTCCCCAGGACTGTCTTGCTGAGCAGGCTCGGAGCTCAGGCCGGATCTGTCATTGACATTGGGAGCTGTCAGACTGCTCAATAGCTGAGCGCACTGAAAGCAAACGAAGGAGTGTGTGCTCTGCTCTCTGCCCCCCCCCCCCTCCCTAGAGTGCAGTACCCGGCTCTGTGAGTGAACAACAAGTACTGCAACTTTTTATGGGTGTGTGTGGGTGTGTGTACATGTGTGTGTGTTTGTGTGTGTCTGTGTATGCATGTACATGTGTCTGCGTGTATGTACATGTATGTGTGTGTGTACATGTGTCTGTGTGTGTGTGTACATGTGTCTGTGTGTTTGTGCATGTACATGTGTGTGTGTGTTTGTGTGTATGTACGTACATGTGTCTGTGTGTACATGTGTCTGTGTATGTATGTACATGTGTCTGTGCGTGTGTATTTCTGTGTATGTACATGTATCTGTGTGTATGCGTGTCTGTACGTGCCTGTGTGTGTACACATGTGTCTGTATGTGTGTGTGTGTGTGTACATGTGTCTCTGCGCGTGTGTTGTACGTGTGTATGTGTGTGTATGTGTGTGTGTGTGTATGTACATGTCTGTGTGTGTACAGGTGTCTCTGTTTTGTGTGTGTTTGCTGGTGGCGAGTAACTCTAAGGCCTGGCTAGTAGCTCAGGACATGAAATTTTAAGCCCTGTGTTAGGTATTTATCTACTTGGCATAACATCATCTTGTATATTTTACCAAAAAATTGGTATTATTGTGTTTGTGTGCACTAGCATTCATTAAATTTTGTGCTTAACCACTTCCTGTCCGGACACTTTTACCCCTTCCTGTCCAGGGCAATTTTTAGCTTTCAGCGCTATCACACTTTGAATGACAATTGCGCGGTCATGCAATACTGTACCCATATGAATTTTTTACCATTTTTTTGAGACAGATAAAGCTTTATTTTGGTGGTATTTATTCACCGCTGGGATTTTTATTTTTTTTACTATGTAAATGAAAAGTTCAAAAATTTTGAAGGGAAAAAAAAAAGTGTTTTTTTAAATAAAATTTTGCAAATAAATAATATTTCATCATAAATCTTAGCCAAAATTTATTCCGTTATTTTTTTAGTAAAAAAAAAAAATCCAAATTAGTTTATAACCAAAAATTATAATTTTTAAACATTTTTTTTTTTTTTTTACATTTTATTTTATTTTTTTATATTATTATTTTTTATTTTTATTTTTCTTTTTACATACTGTCACCCTAGCAGTACACTGTCCACCATGGTGACACTGTACTACTTGTGGAGGGTGATGAAGATTTTTTTTTTTTTTTTTTTTTTTACACTGATTGCTTTTACACCCATATAGGATGTAAAAGCAACCATTTCTCTTTCTCTCTGTCTGCATTCCTGCAGTCATTGAGAATTACTGAGTGAGCTGTGAGTGGTCACAGCTTGTCACATGGTACAAGGCTGTTGTGAATAGCCTTGTACCATGTGACCTCTGTGATCATTCACAGATTTCACACATAGTATAGTAAAAGCAATGATGTCACAAGTGACATCTTGCTTACTACATTGCATGTGATCACTGATTCGCCAATCAGTGATCACATGATCGGGACCTCGTACAGAGGTCCTGTCCGACGATCGGTGTTTCACTGTGTCCGGAGGACACAGCGGGCACCGGATCGTGGTGGTGCGCGCCCCAGGGAGCGCGCATAGCTAGAAAAGGCGGGTGCCGTTTATGGACGGCAACCCGACCCTGGACTGCCACCGCCCTGCCGTTTATAAACAGCAGGCGGACGGCAAGAGGTTAAAAAAAAAAGATGCACAAATACTGTGTGACATAAAAAAATTGCACAACCCACTATTTTATTCTCTAAGGCCTCTGACACAGATATAGAGATATATACTGTATAGATCAGGGTTTCTCAACCAGAGTTCCTCCAGAGATTGCTAGGGGTTCCTTGAGAAATGAGCAATTTGTGCCGCCCAGATGGGTTCCCACTGACACAATTGATCTTTTTAGCTCTGTAAGGGGGTAATTCTTCCCAATGTCCATAATCCTAAGGAGCCTTCTTCCTACTAACAATCACAATAATGTATTATGAGTTGTAGATATCTTAGCAGGGGTTCCTTGAGACTAGAAAGTTATTTCAAGGGTTCCTCTGTGTTGACAGGGTTGAGAAACGCTGGTATAGATAATAATTTGTGGGTTCTAAATAATTTTCTAGCAAAAAAATTATGAATTTTACATGTGGGGGAGAAATGTCAGAATTAGCCCAGTAGGGAAGTAGTTAAGAAATGGGTATTTATCTCCCCACCAAGGGCAGACTGACCATTTGGAAACTCGAGCACTGCCCGAGGGCCCGGGGTCCGTAGGGGGCCCCATGAGATGCCCCTGGTACCTTTTTCATAGGCTTTTTTGAGTTTGGGCAAGGACACAGGGGCCCCATGATCCCCTATTGCCCGGGGACCCCATGAATTGTCAGTCCGCCCCTGTTCCCCACTAAAATGCTCAGTACCAGAATCACAAAATGGCTTTGGCCACCCCTACTTACATACCAATAGCCTGATGTATCAAAGTGTCCCAAGGAGTTTCTTGCAGTCACCAATTAGAACAAAGTCCACATTTAAACCTTCCTGTACTTAAAAAAAACAATGTTTTTAAATGACTTCATCTCTTTTCATCCGTTTTATATCTAGATCCATTTGTGTGACCATTATTATAAGCAAGGAATTGGAAATTCTTTAAAAAAATACAGAAAAAGCACAGCTTAGAAAGCTCCAAAAGCGACAACCAACACATTGCTTCCGTGTGCTTATTCGGTGGGATGGAGGTTACATCTGCTGCAGGCAGCCATGTGGCAGCTTTTTATTTTCCTGATGACAGATTTGATAAATTGCCAGACAGAAGGGTACATCTGTCTGTGGCGTTTGCTAACCTTTCGCAGAGTGTTACAGATAGCCCGAGACGGCACTCAGGGAAGACAGTTTTGACAAATTTGGATGGTTGGGTGAAGAAGTAGTAGAAGAGTTCACCCTGTCTGGGATGATGAGATGGATTTGCATGGATGCTGCGTCTGGAACATTGCCTTCATAGTAGGAGGTTGGATAATTAAACAGAAATAACACATGCTTTAATACCACCTTAAAATATTTACCTATAGCCCATTGAGCAATATATGGCATATTTTTATACGAAGCCCACAAGCGTTGCAGCTTATACGGACTGGACAGATTTTTATGCATCGTCAAGGCTTGTGCATTTAACTGTTACCTATTGCCCATGCTACTTCAGAGATGAAGAATAGAGAAAGAAGAACAAATCACTCAGAGCTCAGAGAGCCTATGATAATTGAGATCAGCCATATAAATCATAGGATGTGTATCACTCATTTTTTAAGGCTCGCTTTTAAGAACACACTTTTCTGTCATATCTGGGCAGCAGAATGTTTCAGCATGAAAAAATAAAGAATAAACCATTTTACTAAACCTTGCACTTCATTCCCCAACAGGTAAATCTATTGATCTGAGCTTTGCACACAATCATAGAGATAAATGGATGAACCATCCCCAGCCATGCGTAGAAAAGCATAATATCGTGATCTCATGCCTACAGTTCTGTGTTACAGAATCAAGTGGATATAGCTGATTTATGTGGCTTTTCCTCTATGGCCTCAGAATTCTATCACAAACAAACTGTATGCTCTTTGGACCATATTATACTTATATTGTGCCATTTATTCAACTGTATAGACTTTGCATTGTTAGATTTAAAGCCATTGCATTAATATAGCATTACTGCTTGCGTTAGTTAAACAATAAGAAATGTTTTTTTTTTTCCTGTAAGTTACCTGACCCATTCTGTGATTTTGCTTTATGAATATTTTATTCCTTTTCAATTCAGAGCAATTTATTTTCATTATAAAACAAAATGACACCCGGGCTAACAAATAAATATGAGTAAACGGAATTGGCGCTTCGAGGGAACCACAAGTACAGAGATCCTAATATGGGTAAATACAGCAAACAAAAAATCACAAACAGTACAGATAAAAGGTGATATATTAGGCATTCACTAAAAAGTTAGTTACCAAAGAAATGTTCCAATAAATACAACACTTCTATTATACCAACATCATTGCGCCAATGTAATAAAGAGAGGAAATACACTCACTGGATTCTGCTATTATTAAAAAAACTCAAAATAATAAACAAAATGTGAAAAATATACAAATCACAAATAATTATTTGTGATTTGTATATTTTTCACATTTTTTTTAATGATATATTAGGCATAAAGTCCAAAATCAAAAGGTCCCAGATAGGGTATGACAGGCGAAGGCAGCTCCCCAGAGAGTGAAGCTCTGCAGGAGATAAAATCTAACACAAGCGGGTACCAATCTGAGTGTAGAGGATTAATACTCTAATGGTATCAAAAGGAGTAAAAACTACTCACAAACGTAAGGAGGTAAAAGGCATGGTTTAAAATCATCCTCTGGTAAGCCGTTTGTCAGCCAGCAATGTGGTTGTGTGTCCTGGTCAATCGGGATGAACGGGGATGGACCTGTTAGTGGTGCAGGAGATTTGAAAATGGTGCCATTTATCAGAGTGGACCGCAAGGAAATCCCAGACCCAGCGGGGGATCAATGGCAGAGTAAGGAGAAGTCAGGTGACGCCTTTAGAAGCCCTTGCTTCTTCTTCAGACCTCAGAGGTCTGAAAAAGAAGCAAGCGCTTCGAAACGTGCCACCTGACTTCTCCTCGCTCTGCTATTGGTCACCCACCGGGGATTTCCTTGTGGTCCACTCTGGTAAATGGCGCCATTTTCAAATCTCCTGCACCACTAACAGGTCCATCCCCGTTCATCCCGATTGACCAGGACACACAACCACATTGCTCGCTGACAAACGGCTTACCAGAGGATGATTTTTAAACCATGCCTTTTACCTCCTTACATTTGTGAGTAGTTTTTACTCCTTTTGATACCATTAAAGTATTAACCCTCTACAGTCAAATTTGCGCCCCTTCTGTGTTTGATCCTAACAAATAAATGTGAAACGTCTATTATTATTATTATTATTATTATTATACAGGATTTATATAGCGCCAACAGTTTGCTCAGAGCTTTACAATATAACGGGAGACAATACAGCAACAATACAGTTCAATACAAGAGGGTTAGGAGGGCCTGATCCTTGGAGCTTACAATCTAGGAGGGAGGGGCTAGTGTTACTAAAGGTAGTAACTGTGGGGGATGGACTGGTTGGAAGAGTAGAAGATTCCATTAGTAGCTGAGGGCAGGATAGGCTTCCCTGAAGAGATAGGTTTTCAGAGATCGCCTAAAAGATCGCCTGCTCCTTGGAGCTTACAATCTAAGAGATTCTGCTATAAGTTATCTGCTGTGACAAACCAACAAAGGGTTGCAAGTGAAATAAAACAAACAAACGTCCTAAGGACGTATCATCAGTATGATAAAATGCGTCAGGCGGGATTTGCGGTTATGTCATTTCCAGTTAGGTGGAAAGCACACTAGATCTCCAGCAGCACTTTGTAGTACACTTTTACAAATGCCTAATACAATCTAATCCTTTGTAAGTGCAATTTTACCTATGTTAAAGCTCTTAATATACAGTGTTTCATTATGAGAGGCTTCACTCCTCCTTTATAAGTTTTCTTCTGCCAATACTGGGTGTTTCTTGGACGACTTTGAAGACAAGCAGAGTTGGTGCTCAGTAATACCTGAGGCTTCGTACCTGTTTGATCATATGGTTCCTGCAGCACACTGATCCTACTCCCGGAGGTGCATACCATAAAAAGTGCAATTTGACTTTCTTGTGTAAACAAGGAGTTAATTACTTCTGGTGAGTGTGGTACATACTGGCACTTGCAGGAGTGCAGCACATATTGATACAAGTTTATCAAGTTTCTGGGAGCACACGGAGCACTGGAATTAATCTGGATGCTACATCTGGACTGTTTATGAACTTTATATATACCCTTTGGTGTGACCGCTGTTTTGTTTGTTTGTTTTATTTGTATTTATTTATTTATTTTAATTTATTTTCATGAAGTAATGGACAACTGGGATACAACTGGGACTTGAGCCCATCTTTCTCCTGATGCAGAACATAGCCAATAGATACTCAAAGAATATGCAAACCCAACATTTTATATTCCTGATATGTGCCTGTTCTACCATGTACTTGTATGAAAAAGTATCCAGTTTTCTTTGTATTACTTTGTATTGCTTTCTTTGTGTGAAATCCCTGGTGTTCCTGCCAGCCACTCTGCTTTCCACAGCTGACTACACTAGGCATAGTTAGTTTTCTGGCTGTGCTGAGTCTCAGCCTGCTCTCCTCCAATGATCAGACATCTGCTGACACACACCCCTGCATGGATATTCAATGAGAAGATCAGTGTGCTGCTGTTTCTCCACCATCACCTCTCTACACAGCTGAGAATATAGGGTATGTGATCACTTATAAAACAGGGGAAAAGGGTATTTATAATGTTTTACTATATATGCACAAATGTTTTGCATTTCATTTCTATTTAAAACCGAATGGGTGAGGGTTTACATATACTTTAACTAGAAATATAATGGTGTGGGGTCAGTTTTATTTTTTCAAGTGTTTAAACTGATGTTTTATATCCTTTTTCTTTACTTTTCCAAAATCTTCATTTTATAAATAAACATTTCATTCAAAGTTCACTTATGACACAGATTTCACAAAGAGAGAGAGAGCTTAGCAGATGCTGTTCCCTGACTGAAGCCTCAAAGGGTCCCTTCTGAAAAGAGCAGGCAGGAGGGGGGAGAAGATCAGTCACTTCTCTGACTTATTTAGCGCGTGTGTGAGACTTCAACAGAGCAGCTAAGAATAGACATATACATTTGAAAAGGAACCTAGAGCTCCCCTGTTAGCTATAAACACAAATAACAAACATTGAGCTGCTATATATAATTTTTACCTGGCTAAAAATGAAAAACTGTTTCTAAAAATTTAAAACAAATTAATACAAAATATACAAAATCACTATATATTTCCTTTAAATGACAGCTCAAAAAATGTTCCTCTATATAGTACAACTAAATAAGTACTATGGTAAAGTAATATCTGCTGACAGCTGTATTGCAGAACTTAACCATTGTGCTTATAAAACAATATAGTAGAATAATTTATAACACTTGCTGTACGTTTCTAGGATTTCTTCCAGCATCTGGGATGTCTTTAGATACATATATACATTTTTTTAAGTTCTTTAAAGCTGAACTCATCATATTTACATGTTTTAAAATGTTTTTACATTTCTTCAGTTACTTCCTAGCTTCCATGCCTATGCAAATGATGTCAGGAGGGGAGGAGGGTTTTTTTTTTAGCTAAGCACACTCTCCTGCCTGCATGTCTGAGCTAAGAGCAGATGAATTCCAGGAAGTAAATGCTACATGAATCACCTGCCTTTACTCAAGATGGCCACAGCCAGAAATGCTAGGTGGGGGGGATGTTTTGTAAAGTGATCTTTTAGCAAAAATAAAACATGGAGACATGAGGGAGTTTGCTTTGAATATTAAAAATTAATAAAACAGTGTTTTTGGTTTGTGGTGCTCAGATACAGTAAAGTTCCGCTTTAAGTAAGAAGTAAAAAGACTCCAATAATAGTGGAGAAGTTAAAAAATACCTTGTTGCAGAACAAATGGCTCAGACATGTTTTAAAATGTACATAATTAGACAGCACAAAATGTCAGTGTTCTGTATTAGAAAAAAATAAAACAGCAATTGCAGTAATAATAACTTTCAAACACTCATATGAGAGCAAATGCCATATATTTTTTCATATATGAAGTTTGTTAAATAAATTATTAATGAAAATTGTCCTAAACATATCTATATCCTTTAGTAACTTTTCTGAATAGTGATTTAATTCCCAAAATATTATGAATCTTGTTTTTCTTAAAGCGGAGTTCCAGCTGTTTTTGTTTATTAAAAGTAAGCAGCTACAAAAATTGTAATTGCTGACTTTTAATAAACACACACTTAGCTGTTCCAGATGTTCTCACCTGCGCCGTTCATTCTCCCCTTCTCTCCTCCACGGCGCCGGCATCTCAACTGTGGGCACGAGGCTGTGACAGCTTGCGGCTTCACAGCTTGGGCCCACTGCGCATGCGCAAGTCTCACTGCGCTACCTAATTGGTCTGGCAATCTCCTGGGACCTGTGAAAGTTCCAAGGAGACTGCGGGAGGGAGGAGGGGGCTGAACTTCCTTCCAAAAACATGTATCCGCTCCCCCCCATAAGGTGCCAAATATGGCAGTGGAGGGGGGGGGGGAGGCAAATAAGTGGAGCTTCCGCTTTTGAGTGGAATTGCGCTTTAAAGTAATTGTAAAGAGAAAAATGTTTTGTTTTTTAAATAACAAACAATAACTTACCTGCCCTCTGTGCAGAGTGACCCTGATCCTCCTCTTCTTGGGTCCTCCACTGTCGCTTCTGGCTTCCCCTCCCTTCTGAGTGCCCCCATAGCAAGCTCGCTCTCAAGCCACGCTCTGTCTGTCCATTGACATGCAGAATGTGGCTTGGCCGCTCCCCTGCTCCCATTCTCACTAGTTGGAAGCCATTGGCTACCGCTGCTGCATTTGATCCACTGAGGAGAGAGTGAGAGAGCAGAAATGCTGCTCTCATGCACAGCACTGGATCGACATCGGGCTCAGGTGAGTATAAGGGGGGTGCAGTGCACTCTGCACTGCATAGAATGCATTAGGGAAAAAAACAACTCCTGCCTTTAGAATCACTTTAAGGTAACCGTAGACATTAGAGAATCATTGATCTGTCCTTTTAATTTATGTTTTCCAACATGTGATGTGATGTGCAAATCTATACACTTTTTGTGAAGAGGATTGATTACCCAACGATTAGATCATTAATAAAAACATCGCAACGCCATCTTAGGTTGTGAAGAATGAGCTACCATTAACATAACAACTTAAAAGGTAAATCAGTAGAGGCAGCACCACCTATTTCTGTAACCACAGGTTTGCTTACTTCTGCATGTAACTTTTTTACACAAGTTCTGTATGTCTGCACAAGATGCTGATGCCTAATGAAATAATTCTAATATTAAAAACAATCCAGCAAGCTACCTGGTTTGTTTTTGGGGTTTTTTTGCATGGTTTTACAGTATATATCTATATATAGATATATACACTATATTGCCAAAAGTATTGGGACTCCTGCCTTTACACGCACATGAACTTTAATGGCATCCCAGTCTTAGTCCAGAGGGTTAAATATTGAGTTGGCCCACCCTTTGCAGCTATAACAACTTCAACTCTTCTGGGAAGGCTGTCCACAAGGTTTAGGGGGTGTCTATGGGAATGCTTGACCATTCTTCCAGCCCATTTGTGAGGTCAAGCACTGATGTCGGACGAGAAGGCCTGGCTCGCAGTCTCTGCTCTAATTCATCTCAAAGGTCTTCTATCGGGTTGAGGTCAGGACTCTGTGCAGGCCAGTCAAGTTCCTCCACCCCAAACTCACTCATCTATGTCTTTTATAGACCTTGCTTTCTGCACTGGTGCGCAGTCATGTTGGAACAGGAAGGGGCCATCCCCAAACTATTCCCACAAAGTTGGGAGCATGAAATTGTCCAAAATGTCTTGGTATGCTGACACCTTAAGAGTTCCCTTCACTGGAACTAAGGGGCCAAGCCCAACCCCTGAAAAACAACCCCACACCATAATCCCCCCTCCACCAAACTTTACACTTGCAACAATGCAGTCAGGCAAGTACTGTTCTCTTGGCACCCGCCAAAACCCAGACACGTCCATTGGATTGCCAGATAGAGAAGCGTGATTCGTTACTCCAGAGAACACATCTCCCTTGCTCTAGAGTCCAGTGGCGGCGTGCTTTACACCACTGCATCCGACGCTTTGCATTGCACTTGGTGATGTAAGGCTTGGATGCAGCTGCTCGGCCATGGAAACCCATTCCATGAAGCTCTCTATGCCCTGTTCTTGTGCTAATATGAAGGCCACATGAAGTTTGGAGGTCTTTAGCTATTGACTCTGCAGACAGTTGGCGACGTCTGCGCACTGTGCACTGTGCACTTCAGCATACGTTGACCCCGCTCTGTCATTTTACGTGGCCTACCACTTGGTGGTTGAGTTGCTGTTGTTCCCAGTTGCTTCCACTTTGTTATAATACCACTAACAGCTGACCGTGGAATATTTAGTAGCCAGGAAATGTCACGAATGGACTTATTGCACAGGTGGCAACCTATCACGGTACCACACTTGAATTCACTGACCTCCTGAGAGCGACCCATTCTTTCACAAATGTTTGCAGAAGCAGTCTGCATGCCTAGGTGCATGCTCCTGTGGCCATGGAGGTGATTGGAACACCTGAATCCAATGATTTGGAGGGGTGTCCCAATACTTTTGCCAATATAGTGTGTGTATATATATATATATATATATATATATATATACAGCCATGGCCAAAAATATTGGCACCCCTAAATTTCTATCAGGTAATGCACCACTTTGCCCAGAAAGTGTTGCAATTGCAAATGTTTAGGCGTTCTCATGTTTATTTCTTTTGTTTGTATTGGTATGACACAAAAAAGGGGAGAAACAAAAAGCCAAATCTGACACATTCCATGCAAATCCCCAAAATGGACTGGACAAAATTATTGGCACCTTCTCAAAATTGTAAGAAATAATTGCATTCCAAGTTTGTGATGCTCCTGTAATTTGAAATTAAACTCACCTGTATCATTTGGCAGGTGCTGACAATATAGATATCAAACCAGCAACCAGTTAAAATGGTGAAAAACTGATTCACCCTTTCTGTTGTGTGTCTCTGTGTGCCACATGGAACATGAAGAAGAGAAAGAGCAACAAAGAATTGTCTGAGGATTTGAGAACAAAAATTGTGGAAAAGCATGGACAATCTTAAGATTACAAGTCCATCTCCAGAGATCTTAATGTTCCTTTGTCCGCTGCATGCAACATTGTCAAGAAGTTCACAGCTTATGGCACTGTAGCTAATCTCCCTGGAGGTGGACAAAAGAGAAAAATTGATCAAAGATTTCAATGAAGGATTGTTTGAATGGTGGCTAAAGAACCTAGATCAACTTCCAGACAAATTCAAGCTGACCTTCAGGCACAGGCAGGGTACAACTGTGTCAGCTCGCACTATACGTTGCCATCTGAATGAAAAGGAATGCTATGGTAGGAGACCCAGGAGGACCCCACTGCTGACACAGAAACATAAAAAAGCCAAGTTGGCGTTTGTCAAAAGTTACCTGAGGAACCAAACTCTTTTTGGGGGAATGTGCTGCAGACAGACGAAACAAAATTACAGCTTTTTGATACAGTCCACCATTCTACTGTTTTCAGAAAAAGAAATGAGGCCTTTAAAGAAAAGAATACAGTCCCTATAGTTAAACATGGTGGAGGTTCACTAATGTTTTGAGGTTGCTTTGCTGCTTCAGGCTCTGGATGTCTTGACTGTGAGCATGACATTATGAAATCTGAAGACTAACAAAGAATTCTGGGGTGAAATGTAGGGCCCAGTGTCAGAAAGTTGGGTCTCCGTCAGAGGTCATGGGTCTTATAGCAGGACAATGACCCAAAGCACATGTCAAAAAGCACCTAGAAATGGTTTCAGACAAAGCGCTGGAGTACTGAACTAGCCATCAATGAGTCCAGTTCTCAATCCCATAGAGCACCTGTACAGAGATCTCAAAACAGCAGTTTGGAAAAGGAACCCTTCCAATATGAGAGACCTGGAGCAGTTGGTGAAAGAAGAGTGGTCCAAAATTCCAGTAGAGAGGTGTAAGAAACTCATTGGTGGTTACAGGAATCTATTGATTTCATTTATTTTTTTCAAGGGGTGTGCTACCATATATTACAATGAGAGGTGCCATCAATTTTGTCCAGTCCATTTTTGGGGTTTTGCGTGGAATGTGTCAGATTTGGCTTTTTGTTTCTCCACTTTTTTGTGCTATACTAATGCAAACAAAAGGAATAAACATAAGAATGCCTAAATATTTGTAATTGCAACAATTTTCTGAGTGAAGTGGTGAATTATCTGACAGAAATGCAGGGGTGCCAATATTTTCGGCCATGACTGTATATATAATATATATATTATTTCCTTGAGCATTAGCTACCATATTTTTATGATTTTATAAAATATTTGCAGTGACTGTGTCCTCAACCGAGCCATAGTCAAAAGACATTCTCGGTTGGAAGTAGAATACCGGGGTTATGGATCAGCAATGTGCCATAACCCCGATATTGTTTTCTTCAGCCGGTGATTTTCTAACTGATAAAAGTGGTGCAAGCTGCCAATTCGCCACTAGATCACTTTTTGAACTGGCACTTTCCTGGGGCTTGCCTGGATGATCGGTAGCACTGAGAACTAACTGGTGGTTGTGGCTGCTTTTCACAGAGATGAGAGGAGGAAAGATGGCCTCCACTCATCTCTATGGCGTAGGAGGACTGGAGCAACATCATGACTTCACTTTCAGTTTCATCCTAATGTAAACAAGGCCATTTAAGCACTAAATCAATTTTGTTTTTAATCTAACGCTTTACATTGTAGAGGAGAGATCTGGGGTCTTATTGACCCCAGATCTCTTCATAAAGAGAACCTGTCACTGCCTATTTTTTTCACAAGAGATTTTTACATTCCTTGTGATAGGAACAAAAATGATCAAAAAGTTTTTTTTTAAGGAGCAGTGTAAAAATAAAAAACGTATTAAAATAAATGATAGGTCACTGTAAGTCACTCCCACATATGTAAACGGTGTTCAAATCACACATGTGAGGTATGGCCATGAACGTAAGAGCAAGAGTGATAATTCTAGTACTAGATCTCTTCTGTAACTCTAAACTGGTAAACTGTAGAAATGTTTAAAGCGTCACCTATGGAGATTTTTAAGTACCGTAGTTTGGTGCCATTCCACGAGCATGCCTAATTTTAAAGCATGACATGTTCAGTATCTACTTACTCGGTGTAACATATTTTTAAAAAACGGGTTTTATATTGTGTTTTTTTTCCTTTTTTGAATTCAGTAAAGTGTATTTTTTCCCAAAACATTACATTAAAAAAATCGCTGCGCAAATACCGTGTGACTTTAAAAAATTGCAATGACCGCTATGTTATTCTCTAGGGTCTATGCTAAAAAAAAAAAAAAAAAAAATATATATATATATATATATATTATATATATATATATATATATATATATTGTATGTGGGTTCTAAGTAACTTTCTAGCAAAAAAAAATGATTTTTTACGTATATGAGAGAAGTGTCAGAATTGGCCCGGTAAGGAGGTGGTTAAGATGTTTTTTTTTTTACTAGAGGATGTCATGTTTATAATGTGTTTCACAGTTGCCTTTCAAAAAGCTATGGATCACTGACTTATTTTCATCAAAGCAGATACCTATTTCGTGTCTAGTCTAGCCTACATAACAAAGCCAGAGGGATTTTGAACACATATAGCACTCCTTTTATAGAATAGGTAAAACAAATCCCTTGATGGGTACCCTATAGTCTTTAAACACAACCACATGCCTTACTAGCACTATATTAATATAGATGCACTTTGTTCACATATCACAATATATAATATGCTTACTGATCACAACAAGTTGGGTCTCTTCTGGTCAGAGAGAGTCATATTTATAAAAGATCGCAATGTTCATTTTGTATTATAGAAAGGTCAAACAGTTGCAATATGTAAAGAAAATTGAAGCAGATGAAAAAACAGGTCAATGCTCCTTGAAACATAAGTAACTCCACTTTTGTTGAAAAAAAAAAACACCCCTCTGGGTGATCTACAGTGCAAAGATTTTAACAAAACTTTGTCGCAGATTCCTAGCTTTTATTATTCTGAGAAAATAGCTGTTTTTTTGTCTGTGTCCATGTGTAGAGTGAATCTGTATGGGAGTGGTTTTACAATTATCAATCAGCTGCAGTACCTGCGGGGTTCTAATGAGGAAATTGCATTCCTTTAGACATGATTTTCCTTTGGGGGTATCTCACTAAAAATGACATTTTTGTTGTAGGTGATGCCAAAAATCTGACTTTTTGGGAAAATCTGTAAGCCAATCATTCAAGCAGAAAATGACATTTTCTGGGACCGTTCTGCACACCATCAGTGTACAGAACGCCTCCATTGAATTATACAGAAAATTACAGTGCTGCAGATTGAAAAGGAAAAGTCATTTTTAATAACATTCAATTACAATATGACTTGAGTTGCAAATATATATACTCTGTATACATTTTTTTACTTGCTATTTTTTTCCCCCACAAAAGTGGAGTTATCCTTTAATATTTATAATATTACAGAGCTGGTATCTCATAAAAGGATAAGCGATTTTTTTTTCTGGCACATAAAAAAATATTAGTTTAATTTTCTGTTATCCCCTCTGATCAAGATATTGATCAATTTTTTTGGTGGCTGTGGAAAAAGTAACTGATCTCAGACTTAGTATGGAATAAGCTTTATTGTCAGACAGGGTGATACATTTGCTCAGAAGCACACGACATGATCAGAGTGTTTTTTAGGTTTGTGGGTAAGTAGGTCAGGGAATTTGAGTTAAGGCAATGCTTTTTCATAAAATTCAAGCACAGATAACCCTTCTCATTATTTTTGACAATAATGGCATAGGTATGCTTTAACCATTTAAAGAGCGGACTGTTTCACCCCCTTCCTGCCCAGACCATTTTTTCAGATTTCAGCACTGTCACACATGACAATTACTCAGTCCTGCATCACTGTACCCAAATTAATTTTATATCATTTTTGAGACAGATATAGCTTTATTTTTGATGGTATTTAATCACCATTGTTTTTTTTTTGCTTTTTGCTGTATAAAGGAAAAAAAGGCCAGAAATTTAGAAAAAATCTATTTTTTTTTGTTTTGGTTATAAAATGTTGTAAATAAATACTTCATAAATTTAGACCAAATTGTATTCTGCTACATTTCTTGGTAAGAATAACCCAAATCGGAGTATATTATTCAGTGTGAAAGTTATAGAGAAAACAAACTATGGTATACTGTATATATTTGAAAATTGATCAGTCTTAACGTTCTGTCTATCTTACTTATTGAGTCATCTTAAAAGTTGTCATCTTAACAAGATATTTCTCAAAGTTGTCATCTTAACAAGATATTCTTCAAAGTTGTCATTTTAAGATATTTCTCACACACAGCATAGGCATACTTCAGATACTTACTACCCGATAACGTTTGCCATGACAAAACTCGTCAGGCCAGGCTAGCGGAAGTGACAGCATCATGCAAGCCGAAACCGGAAGTGAATCTTGCCAGGAGATAGCGGAGGATTGGATGGTTATACTATGCTAGATATGATGTTGCCTGTGTGGCCACTTTGCTATGTGAGTTTTATTGCCGTTTTTAATAAACCTGATGATTGGCTTTACTACACTATTAGAGGATTTTCTCTCTTCATTTGTGGGCATTGTTGGAGCACTCTGTGAATGTATATATATGGAGATTTGTGGTGTCCTTGATGTTGCTTGCATCACAAGCACTTTATGACCATTCCATAAGTGGGGGTCATACTGTATATACATAGTAAGGTACATCTGCACACACTGAGGTGACTTTAGAAGAGCTTTTCATTTCTTTCTGTTGGTGAATGGACATTGGCTCATGTCTTCTCTGCTCTATGGTTGCAGTATTATTATATGCTGCCATTGGAACTCACTGAACTTTTTATTTGGATTTGTGGAGTGGTTGGACACTTTGGATTAATATCATTTTCACCATTCAAATACTATTCTCACCATTTATGCTGGTTTTTGAGCACAGATATTTGTGGATTATTATTTATGATTGTTTGAGGTGATTGTAGCCGTATTAGTGCATTTGCGACAGAAACAATTGAGTACTGTCCGTGATACTTTTTTTATTTGCACTAACATAAAATTTTGAGGACAAGCTTTCGGGGTATGTCCCCTTCTTCAAAGTCCAAACAGTACTATACAAATCATAAAGTTTCAGCAGAATGCTAGCAGACGCCTTCTGTAAGAAAGGTTACAAGGACAAAACTATCAACACCAGCATAAACACAGCCTTGAGAACACGAAGGGAAAATCTACTTCAGTACAAAGAAAAAAAACAAACAACCGTGTACCTCTAGTAACCACATACAATCCAGCACTAGAAGGGATAAGAGAAAAAATCAAAGATTTACAACTCATCATAACAGATGAACAACCCCCAATACTGGCCTTCAGACAACCCCCCAACCTTAGAAATAAACTAATCAGTAGAAAACTTTCTTCTGATCAAGATGTCACAAATAATAGAAGCACACCCTGCAATAAGAAACGCTGCAAACTGTGCAACCAAATCAATCCATCAAAAAGTGTCAGACACTCAAAAGGGATCTTCAATATTTCTGGCTCATACAGCTGCACCTTCAGTAATGTTGTGTACCTTATCCAGTGCAGAAAATGCAGCAAAGGATCTTATGTTGGCGAAACAGGACAGAAGTTGCAAACAAGGATGAATTTGCACAGACATACCATCAAGGAACATAAAGAAGATGACCTCTTCACACCTGTAGGACACCATTTCGCACAACCAGGCCACACAATGGGAGACCTCAATATTTTAGTTCTTAAAGGAAATTTCAAATCCATTCAGGAAAGAAAAACCTTTGAACTAAGAATGATAATTCTATTTGGCACAAGCGATAACAGCCTTAATTTGGACATGGGATTCCTCACTCGTTATCCAACAGTTGTATGACTATTAGCTGAAACTTGACTCCCTCTGTGTGAGTGTAGTATCCCCCCCCCCTCGCTTTGGCTGTATCTTATCTCTAACCTCTCTTTTTTTTTTTTTTTCTTCATCTCTTCTAACATTCTGCTGAAACTTTGTGATTCGTATAGTGCTGCTTGGACTTTGAAGAAGGGGACATACCCCGAAAGCTTGTCATCAAAATTGTATGTTAGTGCAAATATAAAAAGTATCACGGACAGTACTCAATTATGATTTGTTGATATTTATTTGCTATTTTATGTCTTTACTGTTATTTGTTGTATTCACAGCGCTGCACATTTCTTCACATATCTTTTTGGATTTAGTGTCATAACCCTTAGTGTTGGCTTATTATTTTTCACTGCACCCAAGCGTCCCTTTGAAATACCTACAGATACACCCCAAAAAAAAACATTCTTCTACTTCTCCCAAGTATAGGGATACCACATGTGTGAGACTTTTTCACAGCCTAACTGCAAACAGGGGCCCAAAATCCGAGGAGCATCATCATGCTTTTTAGGGGCATAAATTACACATCTAATTTCCTGACTACCTAGCATATTTCTGGAGCACCATGAAGAAGAAACTCCCACAAAATGACCTATGAAATGTAATTTTTTGCCAAAACATTTACACAAAGTAAAGATATTTTTAACACACAGCATGGACATACTTAGAACCCCCTTACACCCCAAAAACACATTCTACTCCTCCTCTAAAGTATGGGGATAGCACGTGTGAGGCTTTTTCAAAACCTAATCAGAAGGAGGGGCCAAATACAAGTTGCACGCTAAGACTTTCTAGGGGCATAAATTATCTGATTTCCTCACAACCTTTCATATTTTTGGAGGCCCTGGAGCACCAGAGCAAGAAAATTTGCCCACAAAATGACCACATTTTGGAAAATAACTACCCCAAGGTATTTTTTAAAATGCATAGTGAATCTTTTTAAGACTTCATTTTTTTGCCACAGGTGTTTGGAAAATGCAGAAAGAAAATGAAAATTATTTTTTTTTTACAAGTTGTCAGTTTTATAAGATATTTTTAACACACAGCATGTGCATACTTAGAATTACACCCCAAAAAACATTCTGCTACTCCTCCCGATAATGGGGATACCACATATGTGAGACTTTTTCAATGTTCGGACTGATTATATACCAGATATTGCATCTTGTTTATCACAAAAATCAATTGTATCAAACCAACGTACTGCAATGGTCGCTTCTGTATGCATGGTCAGGGAATATAGTTTAGTGTAGCATCGCTTAAGGCACTCCCCATTCCTATAGGCCAAACAAGCCTAGCCTACTGGTACATGGCTGCCCCCAGAAATACCATATTCCCTGGCGAGGCGGTACAGGAGGCTGAACAAAGGGTGGACAAAAGAGTCCCAGTGGTTCCAGAAGTGCAGTTATCCACAGGGGATGGCTAGCACTGGTGTCTTGCAAGAAGTTAGTCAGAAGAATGTGTAGACAGGTCAGTTCAGGTGGCAGTCAGAGACAATGTCAATAAACAGGCCAGGGTCAGTACAGGCAGTGGCAAAACTGCACTGATGTGGTGGTGGTCAGGAAGGCTGTTGCTAGCTGCCCTGGCTCTGGTGACAGTGTACTTATGTGTTGGCGATCAGAGGCACTGACCCTGGTGTCTCTATGACTAGTGTGATGCACTCTCACGAATATCACATTGAGAGCAGCGGCTGTGTTCTTTCAGCTGCTGCGTCCCAATAAACATCAATGGAACTGCTTGAACGGGGATGCCTGGGACACCTGTGCATCCCTGTGTGGGATAACATAGCATGGGGTATGCATTGATATGAAAATAAATGCAGTGTCACTATGAGAGCAATTACAATCAAATAGAACTAGATAAAACCATGCAAAAAAACCCCCCAAAATATAGGCATTTAAGTTTATATGGTAATCTCTATACACTCCTTATGAAAAAAGCCAGCTGTAAGAGTGGAAACAATTCTAGAAAGACAATGAAAGAGGGGAAACACCGTAGTGCTAGCTGAGTGTAATAAATTGGTAAAAGCTGGTTTATTACCAGCAATAGAGCAAATCACAAACAGTTAACTCACAAACTGTTCAAAAAAGAAAATTAGTAGAAGAGGCAGAAGAGGGGGGAAGCACAGACAGAAAAGACAAACTTTGCAAACTGTAAAGATTTTTAATCTTTCATCAGACCCATTGTCCCTGGAGGAAACATCATTATTGAGTATTGACTTTGCCCCTTTGTATGGCCAAACCCATTCACATTACTTGTAGACCTAACAGGTTTGTTAGGAACTTAACAGTAAAAAGGTATTACAATATTCAGGCAGTAAAAGAGAATTTGGCAACAAATTTCCCTACTGATGTCACGTTAGAAGAATCTATGCTATTTGACACAATTGATGTTGTGTGCCTCACCGATTTGGAAGATCTTTACTGGTTCTGGTGAGGAAGATGACATGCTACTGTTACCCAGTATCTTCCTACGTCCCCTCCCATACAACACTCTACCTTTTGTCCCAAATAGATGTTCAACCCCTCCCATATCAAAGGACCTTACATTCAGAGTTCCCTATCCGCTGCCCCACCTACTCACTGTACTGTACCAATCTCACAGCCCAGGAACAACACGCCCTAGACATATCTAGACATCATCATAAAATCGACTGATAAGGGTGGGGGCATTGTCTTGCAGGATAGAGCTGACTATTTCCATGAAGCCCATAGACTTTTATCAGACTCCAACACCTTGTCTGACTTCATCAGGACCCACTCCTATAATTCTGTGAGGAAGCACATCAATTGGACAGTAAAGCCCGTGAAGAGGGTAATATTACCAAAACAGAAGCCACCTTTCTTAAGAGAGATAGCTATAAGACACCATATTTTTATCACCTGCCTAAAATACACAAAAGTACAGAAAACCCCCAGGACGCCTCATAATTGAAACAATGGAAAGTGTTACCAACATTTTTCCATCTATATTGACCACTTCCTCCAACCTTTGGCCCAACAATTGCCTGCTTAGATTAGTGATGGCATTCATTTATTTGATACACTTAAAAAATACACCTCTCATATTTATGGTTGTCCCTTGACGTAGCTTCCCTCTATACCTCAATCCCTCATAAAGTAGGCCTTAGATCTGTACAACATTTCAGTAACATCTCATTAATTTGAGACTGACCAGATTTTCTGGACGTCACCGAGTTTTGCCTCATGCATAACTAATTTCAGTTTGACACCAGCAGTTTTACCTGCAGATCCAGGACAATAACAACCCCTATTCCCAGAATATTGTCTATTATGTATGATAAATTGATGATGTTGTGATAAGCTGGGATGGTCCAAGAGCATTGGTGGATTGCTTTGTCACATATTGCAATTCCAATTACCTTAGTCTTTTGTTCACCCATGTTTGTGAGCCAGATAGCCTAGCCTTTTTAGATTTGGAACTATGTCACATGGATACAAGTATTTATGCTAAGAATTACATCAAACCTACTGCCGAGAATTCTTAATTGCACAATCAGAACTGCCACCATCCCAGGTGGATGGCTAATATTTCAAAAAGCCAATTTTGCAGACTCTGTAACAATTGCATACAGGATGAGGATTATGTCTCACAAGGTATTCTTTTAAAACAGAAATTTTATAAAAATATATATCCCCCTCATTGGCCAAGGAAGCCTTTACAACATATCTGAATGACCAAGACCCAAAACAATGAAATCATCAAACATACACCTCAGCCTCTAAGATTTACAACCCAATTTCACACAAAAATATGGAATATTTACACATCCTACCCAACCCTTTTGTCTATCAAGATCATGTTTCAATGCTGCAAATCTTAAGTGTCTTACATGTAAACATGTACAACATGGGCAAAACAATTTACCACCAAGGGCAAGACCTATATGCTTGATGATTTTTACAGCTTCTCATCTGAGTTTGTTATATATTGCAGCCTGTTGTATGAGGTTCGGGAAGCATAGACGGTCAGTGGAGGATGCTCGTGACAAATTAAGTGTGGCCAAACACTTGCCGGAGTTCCATCTAAAACCGTATGCTGATTTGCAGGTCTGGGTCATAGGAGGTGTATCCAAGTGTCTCCCAAGAGCAGAGCATATCAGACGTCTTTGTGAGAGGGAGATATATTGGATTTACACCCTGGATACTATAGCTCCAGGTGGCCTAAATGAGGACTTGGAAGTCCATTCTTTACTGTAATTCCTTTTTATAGTTATAGTTGATCATTAACCCCCCTCTTTTTCACCCCTGGGACAGACAGTCTGGTCCTGTACAATATTCATTAGAAAAGTATTCTCACTGTGATTCCAATAATAATATATGTTTACAAATTAGATTTTGTTCAAACAAATTAATGTAACAACTCGCTGCATTATAGTATTGGTTTCATAACTTACAGTACAATGCATGATCTGTCTCTTATTTCAATCCATTCATTAATATCCAATTCATTC